AAAAACAGCACGAGAAACACATCCAGAGATCCGCCCCAAGTCCCGTACGTGGAACTGCGACACCCGTGTTATGCCGTGTGAATGTCTGTGGCGCTGAACTCAAGGTGCCGCAGGACCGCAGTCAGCACACGCACGATGAAGGCTGTATTGGAGGCAGGGGGTGGAATATTCAATGAATGCAGTATTAATTCATCTGATAAGCATGATGCGACGCACCTTTCAGCGTACTGCCCCATATGTAGCGACACCATCGTGTTTACTAGCACATACCACTGTAATGTATATATGTATATTTTTTCCAAATCACACCGCCCCCTCCCCGCCGCATCCCTCCTCCGCTAGAGCTATTTCTGTCCCCCTCTGTCTCACTCACCTCCTTCCGAGTGGATCTTCTTCGATTTCCTATTGAAATACATCGTGACGGGGTCTCTCTCGAGGCGGGATCGCGCGGCAGACAAGCGGACATGCTCCTCGCTCGGGGGCCCGGCAGCCTAATGACGGGGCGCCGGGTGCAGCGCGGCGCTCCGGGAGCAGCCCGTCATCGACACAGCCCGCTGATCAGAACACCTCGCCATGACGAAGCGTGTTAGCCACAGCACCGTCGCATAATTACCCAGAGGCGGTCTGGGACGGGCAGATTAACTGTGGAGCGGACCGGAGCTGGCTAATGTCTCAAGCGGCGTTCGTTAGACCGGCTGTACCAAGGAGAAGGGTGAACGCGCCCCGTCTCTCCCAGGCACAGCGCAGTCCAGCAGCTGCAGATCGAGGGGGGAAGACCGTCAGCTGTTTCAGTAAACCCCAGTTCCTCTCTCACAATCACCACGTTTTTTTTTCCTTCTTTCCCCCTCATTTTCACGTGTCTTTCAATGCTACATTGAATCGAGGGTGAAATTGAAATGCTAATTGAATCCTTTTGCTAAACTCCATGCTGAGAGCCGAAGGGTTACTGTTTTTTTCTTTAATTGAATCGTTTAAGTCTCTCTACATTCCCCTCCGTTTTGTTCAAACATGTTTTAAATGTCGTGTGTGCATTTTAAGGGCAAGACGTTCAATTGCCACTGATGTATTTGTTTGTTTTTTTAATATTCCAGTTTTTAAATCCTATTTATTCACACTTGTAAACCATCTTTACAAGCCATACAAGTTGTAAGAATCAGCCATCAGATGTGTGTTATCTGTTATGAGAGGTCGCCAACCAACCGCTATACCATTAAGGTACTGAGACTTCCATCTCTTCGGCAAAATTCGCGATTCATCAGAAATTTACCATCACGCCTCAGTTCACTGCCAATCCAGGCCTTTGTCACAGCATTTTAAAAAAGCGGTTACCTGCTCTGCAAGTGTTCAATTAAAGTTCACTATTGCCAAGCGCAAGCGGGTCTAGGGCGGTGCTGTGCAAGACTTGAGTCTCCTAAATCTTATCAATAATTGTTAGGAATAATTACCTGCCCCCCGCAGGACTTCCGGCAACGCGATTTTAAAATGTGTGGACTTTTAAAAAAAAAAAGGTCAGGGCCTCGTACAGAACGAGTCGTGCGTCATCGCTGTAGGACAGAGGGCTCATTTCTCCGGTTGCTTTAAAATACTGTAATGCAGCCGAGCCCCAGGCCGTCTCAAGCTGTACCTGCAATTCCATGTTGCGATTTTCCATCGTGAATAATTTTCCATTTCACGGCAGATTTATATCGCTGCCACCCACCCCTGAAGGGGGGACGCCGTAGGAAAGGGTGCAATCTGGGCGCAAAAAGCGCATCACGCGATTACATGGCACAATACCGACTTCCTATTGCTAATGTATACAGCCACTGAGGTGGCAGAGAGGAGCAGTAAACCACAGTAAACCACGAATGACCAAGCAAGCAGTGGGTTCTTCACATTAAAATCAATTTGAAACAGCACCGCTGTGTGCGGCGATGACTGCCTTGTGTAAGATATGAACATCCATGGCACACCGGGAGTTCAGTACCCTCCGTAGTCTTTTTGTTTACTCCCTGCATCCATCTCTTTCCATAAGGCGGCTGATTAACCCCCTGGCAAGGGCTGCAGCAAGTTGGCGCGATATTAGTAGTCAGGAGGAGACCAGAGGAAATTGAGGCCGATGTGAGAGAACACACAAGCTCCACGCAGAAGGGACTGCAGTCAGAAAGCAACAGCGGTTTACCCCACCCCAGCCTTCTGCAGCATTACAAAACTCGTTCTTCATCTGCATTCTGCGCAACACTCAGTAAAAGTGCACTTGCAGAGTTGTCAAAGTAGTGTCTTAAACGCAGGCTGATGGATGATGTACTGAGACATTTAACAAGCAGGAGTCTAACACCCTCGTTGTAATTGAGTGACTAAACCTAAACGAAATCATAATAAATCATTAATATCTGTTTTGCCAGATAATCCTATCTTTAGAACAACTTTTCACCTAATTCTGCAGGATGCTGACATTTTATAGCAGCACTTTGAAAAAAGTAAAAAAAAGTCCCCAAGAAATTAAAAAAATATCAGCTCTACATGGTGATGTCCCCATATTTCCTAACTGTTGAACTCATTTTCAGATAATCAATTAAACCCATTTTCTCACCTCTTAACTGTTTGAATGGTGAACACCCTCAAATAGATGTAAAACAGCATCAACTGAGCTGATAAGGCTGAACATGATTAAAACAACCCACAATGTTTGATGGTCAAAAGTGCAGTCAGGACTGAAATAAATGCGCAGAGACTAAAGCTCCAGCCAGTCAGTAAAGCATGTATTTAGGTTTTAGCTCAAAGTTCTGGAAAAACATGTAGTGGTAAAAACAGTACACAGAGAAGAATCCATGTGTTTTATCTTATATCAGCACTGAACATATATTTAAAGGTTCTGAAACTTCACATCAGTTGAACCTTTGTGGAAATTTAAAAACTCAGGCAATAGATACTCCTTCAGCATTTGCAGAGCCTCATTTTTTTATCCCTTCATTTGGATTCTGGCATCACTGCTGACAGACAAGAAACAGTTAATGCAGAGACAGGAGAGATTCACCTCCCTCTCCCACTTTTAAAATAAAATGAAAAAATGTGTGCATAAAACACGGAGACATAAGAGAGAAAATCATGGATAAAAACTCTGTGCCATCATTTAAAATATGATAGTGGAATTATGTATTTAAAGTGGTGATAAATTACACTTATACATATAAAATTGTGGAGCTATAGATTAACAGATAATGACATGCAATTTAAGTTTAGGAAAATATCCTATTTGACTCAAGTTGCAAACCATCACCATATTGCACCTGAAAAACACAAGTGTCATCTTCTGTCAAAAATGAGTTTTTCCCTGCCAGGGAATTAGTTCAGTCTCACAGACAACAGATGGCTTCTAAAGTCCGCCACCTCTTGCAGGTATGTGGGAAGTGGTTCTTGTTTTAAAGAAACGGTTGTATTGTGCTTTCAGTCTGTTCTGTTATGAAAAAAAGTTGACAAAAACAAAGGTACCCTTTTGTGGTGCCAATATGACATTTTCTGGAATGCTAAATGGGCATGAACTCCAGAGGCTTTACAGGTTCTGGGTATTTAAGATAATTTGATTGGCCTTATACAATTTCTTGCGATAGGAATTTGTCTTTTTACATACCCCAACTTGCTCTCCATGAGACACAGACAGGGAGAGAGCCTGTGGTCAGAGCACAGGGTCAGCCATTGTACAGCGCCCCTGGAGCAGCTGGGGTTAAGGGCCTTGCTCAGGGGCCCAAGGGAGTAGGATTCTTCTGCCGGCTGTGGGATTTGAACTGGCAACCTTCCAGCCACAGGCGCAGATCCTCAGCCAGCTTTGGAACATAATCTACCTGTTGGCTTTTTTTATTAAAGGGAAAAAAGGTCTTCCCATATCTAAGAAATCATCAGACATTACTGTGAACCCCATCTGCTACACAAAAAAATAGAACTATACAAATAAAACCAATTGCGAAGGTGGGGAATGATTAAAAAACACCAAATTAAAGGATTACAACAAGCAAAGGGAACTCTCTCGTGGACTAGTTCTAAACAGTAACATGAGTTTGAAGAAAACGCAATCCGCGTGTACAGCCGGCAGTGGTACAAAAGTTCACAACGGGGCTTCTGTTTGCATAATGACTGTAAAGGGTACAGTTTTGCTCTAAGGACATCCTGAAACTGTGAAAACAGCAAGCTGAAAATGGCAGCTGTTTCCTGAGAGCTCCCAGCAGACATGGATGCATCTGAACCTCAATGATGTTCCACGATTGTTCACAAATTTGTAAGACTTGTTACAAAATGTGCCTTATAAGTTAAGCTTGTGCACAGTAACTCCAGAGCAATGGGTGGGCCAGTTCAGAGGATAAGGGGTTTGCTATGTTAAATCTAAATGCAATCAGATAAATGCAATCTGAGGATAATTTCCAAACAAACCACCAGGGGGCAGAGTTTTCTCTGGCTACATGCTTGACAGATATATTAGCTGTATGCATCTGTAAAGCACTTGTCAGAGTGGTTATAGCAATAGCTGAAACAATTTGTAATTGGTTATTTTGTGAACTTAACAATCTACAACTAGAGCAGAACAAGAAACAAAAATAAACAACAGTACAAAATATGTTCTCCATCATAAAAAAGAAAGTGGTCGAAACAGCTTCACCTGGAGGGAAGGAAGAGAATTTCTCACTTATAACCCATGTTTGTCTGGTTTTATGTTTTAGAACTAATCCCAACAAAGTCCTGCTCTATAATTAAAGTGATAACTCGGCTGCAGAAGCAAACGGGTAACACGCAGACACACAAACTCTCCCTAATCAAATAGCTTCCCCACCCCCACACAGAAAAAGGCACACCCTTGAAAAACTATTATATGCAGTTGTACTGAAATCCAACACAGCTGGGACCTCAGATGGGAAAACTAGCCCCAGATCCATTTGCAAACGTGACATCCAAATATGTAACATATATAACGTTATTTCTCGGGTGAGTGCCTAGAAGAGAAAAAAAACAGTTCTGCTTTTGATAAACGTTATCCATATAACAGGCTTTCTGGGAAACATTCTGCAACTATATGGGATCTAACTCCGTCTTTCGGTGAGTATATTAAAAAACGAACATTCAATTTCTTAAGATCTTCAAGAATTTCTCATTTCTGGTGAAAAACAAGAAACTGAAGGATTCTGAGTTGTAATGCTTTAACGCCAAACACGATCCGTTGACTACCATAAAACGGATAATAATTCAACCTCGTTAGATGGGGTAGAGAACTGAGGGGGGCTCTCATACGTGTGGGCTTAAATGACATTTTCTTTAGAGTTTTAAAAACCGTCAATGAAACAGAATGAACAGATAGATTAACACTATTTTTTATTTTACTGACCCAAGATGACAGTCGATAATTACACGTAGTTTTGATGTGCTTGGGCTGGTTTTGCGTCCTGTCGATTGTTTAAAAAGATAAAGTTGGAAAAAACATTTAATATTCTTCCATTTAACTGAGTAAAATGTTAATAGCGGACTTATAGCCACTGGGCATCACTGCTAGCATGTCCGATGGTCAGGTTTTCCTTACAAAAATCTGCCATCCGCCGGACCTCACGTAGAAACGCCGAAAACGAAACCGGGAGGGGGCTTTCATTAAACGGACGACCGATGCTTCTAAAAAAAGTGCTCAACTCAAAAAAAGTCTAAAAAAATATAGCTTTAGTTACTTCTGTTTTAAGCGTTCTCATCCGTTTGTCTTTTCTTTTTTTTTTTTGGTTCTACCTTACGCTCATTACCATGAATTTAACACTTGAAACATGAAAGCGGTATGTACAGACGGGGGCAGCCGGGGGGGGCCGGTCAGACGTGGTGGGGGTGCAGGACGGGCTGCCGGCAGATGGGGCAGGTGTTGTTCTCGGACAGCCAGCGGTCGATGCAGTGGATGTGGAACTCGTGCGCGCAGGGCAGCCTCCTCAGCTTGTTCCCCTGGGCGTACTCGTTGATGCAGACGCTGCAGGCGCGGCCCAGCTCCCCCTCCAGGCTGGCCTGGCCGTAGGTGCGGGTGGACAGGTTGTCGATCTGCTCTTTGGTCAGGCCGCGGGGGTGCTCCTCGTCGTCGTCGTCGTTGAGCAGGAAGAAGTGCGCCAGCCGCAGGATGGGCAGCGTGCCGTTCTCCACCAGGTTGTTGGTGTCCCTGCCGGCCGGTCGGCCCTCTCCCGGCTGCGCCAGGAGCTGGGAATGGGCGCCCCCCGTCAGCCGC